TGTCCCCGGAGCCTTCTCTTCTCCAGGCTGAACAACCCCAACTGTCTCAGCCTGTCTTCATAGCAGAGGTGCTCCAGCCCTCTCATCATCTTCATGGTCCTTCTCTGGACTGTCTTCAACAGGTCCATGTCCTTCTTGTGTTGGGGTCCCCAGAGCTGAAGGCAGTACTACAGGGGGGTCTCATGACAGCAGAGTAAAGGGCGAGAACCCCCTCCCTTGACCTGCTTGCCTCTCTGCTTTTGATGCAGCCCAAGATACTGTTCATCAGCTGCACCACCCAGCCTGGTGTCATTGGCAAAGTTGCTGAGGGTACCCTCAATCCCACTGTCCATGTCGCCGACAAAGATATTAAACTGGTCCCAATACTGACCCCTGAGGAATGCCACTCGTTACCGATCTCCACTTGAACATAAAGCCGTTCACCGCAACTTTTTGAGTGCGACCGTCCTGCCAGTTCCTTATCCACTGAATGGTTCATTCATCAAATCCATGTCTCTCCAATTTAGAGGCAAGGATGTCATGCAGCAGAGCATCAAATGCTTTGCACAAGCTGAGGTAGATGACATCAGTTGCTCTTCCCTTATCCACCAATGCTGTAGCCCATCATAGAAGGCCACCAAATTTGGCAGGAACAATTTTCCCCTTAGTGAAGTTGTGTTGGGTGTCACCAATCACCTCCTTATTTTCCGCATGCCTTAGCATAATTCCCAGGAGGATCTGCTCCATGATCTTGCTGGGCACAGAGGTGAGACTGACTGGTCTGTAGTTCCCCGGGTCTTCCTTTTTTCCCCTTTTTAAAAACGAGGGCTACGTTTCCCTTTTTCCAGTCAGCGGCAACTTCCGTGGACTGCCACGGCTTTCCACATATGATGGGTAGTGGCTAAGTGCCTTCATCTTCCAGTTCCCTCAGGACCTGCAGATACATCTTATCAGGTCCCATGGACTTGTGCACCTTCAGGTTCCTTAGATGGTCTCGAACCTGATCTTCTCCTATGGTGGGCGGTTCTTCATTCTCCCAGTCTCTGCCTTTGCCTTTTGCGACTTGGGCAGTTTGACTGGAGCACTTGTCAGTGGAGCCTGAGGCAAAAATCATTGAGTACCTCAGCCTTGTCCGTGCCTCCAGTAACCAGGTCTCCCATTTCCTTCTGGAGAGGGCCTACATTTTCCCTAGTCTTCCTTTTATCACCGACATAGTTATAGAAGCTTTTCTTGTTGCCCTTGATGTCCCTGGCTAGATTTAATTTTATCAGGGTTTTAACTTTCCTAACCTGATCTCTGGCTACTTGGACAATTTCTCTGTATTCCTCCCAGGCTACCTGTCCTTGCTTCTGCCCTCTTTAGGCTTCCTTTTTGTGTTGGAGTTTGTCCAGGAACTCCTTGTTCATCCATACAAGCCTCCTGGTATTTTTGTCTGACTTCCTCTTGATTGGGATGGATCACTTCTGTGCTCAGAGGAGTGATCCTTGAATATATTAACCGGCTTGCTTGGGCCCCTCTTCCCTCCAGGGCTTTATCCCATGGTACTCTGCCAAGTAGCTCCCTGAGGAGGCCAGAGTCTGCTCTCCTGGAGTCTAGGGTAGTGAGCTTGCTGTGCACCCTCTTTGCTGCCCTAAGGATCTTGAACTCCACCATGTCATGGTCACTGCAGCCAAGGCTGCCCTTGAGCTCCATATTCCCCACCAGCCCCACCTTGATGGTGAGAACAAAGTCCAGCATGGCACCTCTCCTCGTTGGCTCCTCTGTCACTTGGAGAGGGAAGTTATCATCAGTGCATTCCAGGAACCTCCTGCATTGTTTATGCTCTGTTGTGTTGTCCCCCCAAGAGATATCGGGGTGGTTGTATTTATTTATTTTACTTCTGCTTGGCCTAAAATTCATTGTGCTGCAGGGTTGTGCTTTTGCACTCTGAATAGGATGCTCCACAGAGAAGCGTTCTAGGCCAATGCATATGGTAGGCACTGTAATAATATAAATTATAAACTCTGTCATAATCTCCATTTGGCTGAAAGCCTGTTATTGAAAGAACATGATTTCATGTTCGTAATGTGTATTACCAGGTCTACAGTTTCTTTTTGCCTAGTGAAACCTAGTTACAAGGATATTTCTAACATAAAGTTTTATCCATGCTTTCTTAAGTATCTTTACTGCCAAGCACAAAAAAGAGATGAGATTTCTTAGATGTTTCCTAATTAAAAGGTCTTGAGCTGTCTTCACTAACTTCATCTGAAATGAAAAGATGGTAAAGAGGAGGTTTTGAGGGTTTTTTTTTGTCTTCTGTATTCTGGATTGTGCTCAGTTTCTAGAGGTGTTTATTCACCGTGTTCAGTGAGGTGAATTTCAATTTGTATTGGATATTGTTTTAGTGTTCCCATGATATTAGTATAAATTTATTAGAAACCATCTAACCTGTTATCTACACCAGAATTCGGTGAAAACAAAATTACTATTCATTGAAATCCTGGGAAAATGAAAAGCTTTGTCAGCACCAAATTTGTGCTTTGATGTGTCTTTCATGCTAGACCAACACATTTTATCACTAGTTTTATCAGCTGTCTCTTAAGCCTGTTCAGCAGAACTACTGTCTTGTTCAGGTGTTTTGATCCTTTTAATCACATAGTTGTACTGTGTGATTTATGCTTATCAGGAAAGACTGACACTCATCCTGAGATCCCAGTTGTCAGACCTGGGCTGAAGTAGCTAGGGGGATGACTGTTGTCTAATGAGAAGGAAATACTGTCTTCATAGGTTATTGCTGCTAATGCCTACTTGAAACTCTTGCTGTTAATATATCTTGGGCGTTTCAAGACTATTTCTCATATATTCCAGATGACGGAATAGCCTCCACTGCGTATCTGTTTCGAAACACTTTGTTTATTTTCCTTTGTTTCTGTTCAGGATTCAAATACAGTTTCTCTACTCTGTTAAGGTGAATAATAGTAGCAGGAAGCAAATATTGATGGCAGGGTTGTTGTGGTTGGTGGCCAAGCAGAACTTTGTAGCAGAAATCTGTTAGCTTTTTGGCCATGAAAGATCCTGAAGAAGTGTTTGAAACAGTTGGTCAAATCAGCTGATTTAGTGTGTCCCCTGCACTGAGTTTGGGAATGAAACAGCTGTTTAACCAGCTTGCAGCTAGTTTTACCTCAGAATCCCATCCAATTTTCAAGGGGAAGCATACAATGAAAAATTACTGTTGCAGAACCTGAAAACTTGTTTTTCAGAGATCTCTTTCCTCTAACTTTGATCTGAAAAGCACTTCATACATAAAAGCTGCCTTTTGGCTTGCACCTTTTACTTAAAATTTTATCCTGTTTTGAGGCTGCACTAGTCACATGATCTCTTTCTTAATCTCCAATTCAGCACTTTCTTTCTAGCCCAGTTTTAAGGCCAAGCGCTTTATTGTATCAGTTTCCTATTCCCATAACAGATGCACATTTCCATATTTCATGGAAGTGCTGATATTAAATATACGTAAAGGACTGCAAAAAACCGTGGGCATTATCATGAAATAATCTGTGCTGTCACTGAGACAGCTGAGTTTTCTCACATACAGAAAAATTATGGAATTCTTTTAAGTGGACCTTCAGAGGAAGCTTAAAGTGCAATAGTGTAAGTAGGTTCTTTAGGTGTGCTGAGAAGTGAATTGACTCCTTCCCCCGTGGCAAAAAAAAAAAAAAAAAAAAAGCCACTTCTGCACACACACCACCCCCCTCCCACCCCCTCAAAATTTCAAAAGGGGAGGAGGGGAAAGGAGAGAGAGAGTAGTCCAAGGAGGTGATTAAATGCACTCCATCATTATCCTTGTGGAAAAGCACCTCCATCTAAAACCCCCTCTTCTTCAGAGATGATCAAGAAAAGTCTGGAGTGATATGGGGTGGTGGGAGGTAGACCACATAGCATTGTAGGCTACGTGAGTTGAACTTCAAGGGTACCATTGCTGTTGTCACCATGTGGGAACTTAGGAAGCAGACATCAGAGTATCTCCCACTGTTTCAGTATATCAACAGGTGTAAGGAGAGGCGGGTGACAGTCCAGCAAAGCAATAGGAAGTTGCTTCTACTTGTGTGTCCCTTGATATGGCAGAGAACCTGGGAGCAGAATGTGTAACTGTGCTAAAGGGAATGAAAACATAGGGATTTAGTGCTGACTTCTGCAACTTCTCTTTCTTACTGAGAAAGACAGGAACGTACAGGGCTTTGACAGAGGCCCTCTTCTTCACCTGTCCTCTTCCACTAGCTCTTCTTTTTAACTTTCTGATGAGTTGGGCCAGCAGTGACTGAATGAAAAGGTGGATGAATGAGCAGTGCTTGACTGGGCAAAGGACTTAAGAGAATGTCTAAATTGGAGAAATGGATGGGGAGTTTGCACTTGTGAAGGGGCAACTAGCATTGTGACGCTG